CTATAAGAGGTTGTTGAAGGTAAAGTAGCAAAGTTTTGGTTTAGGTTTGATTCAGGAATAGGGTTTTCAGTATCTTGATTAATATTAAGAAGGTCTTGGTTTGTATTGGAGTCAGACATAATTATGTTATCATCATCAATTGTTGAGAAGTTTGATAGAGTTTGGTTTGTTTCTTCTGGTTCAATTGTATCAGATGCTTTAATTATATTTTTTAGTAGTAGTTAGGTTGGATTTGGGTTTGAAAAAGTTAGTGCTAATTTTAGAAGCTTTAAATTGTATTTTGAATTTTGAAAGCAAAGTTTTCTCTGCTTCTGAATAAAAATGTTCTTTATAAGCTTTTCTAATATATGAGATAGATAGTTTATCAAGAGATTTAAGAATATAAAAATAAGTGATTACTCTAGCTAAATAATGAGTATTAACTGGTTTAGATGCAATTTTATCGATTGCTTGTTGAAAATGAAGATTATCAACTTGATCATTAATAGCAGCTACTTTTAGATATGTATTGAAATATGTGTAAAAGTAGTAACTTTCATGACTATAATTTGAGTCTTTTGCTTTGTCAAGTTTGTTTTCTTTCAAGCATTTTTCTTTAGCTTTAGCTGCAAGTTGTTGTAAATAGGTAATTGGTATAGGTTTTTGAAAGGTAGCAGGAAAATCATTATCATGTCTAAATATAGAGATGTTCAGAATTGAATATAGGTATTTGGACTTAGAACTTGAAGAGGAGTCTGAGTTAATAGGTGCAGGAAAGTGTTTGAATAATTCTTTAAAAAAAAAAGTAGATAAATTTTTAACATTATATTTAGTATCCTTAGGAAGTGTAGTGCAATTTGTTACAATACAGGTATGAATATGATAGAGTGCTGCTTTAAAGCATTGTTGAGAATGTTTATGTAATAAGTCAATGGAGTTGATAGTGAATTGCTGAGTAAAAGGGCTTTACATGTATTAGAAAGTTTAAGGACGATTTGATATTTAATGAAATTAAAAGGTTTTGTTTATCAATTTTGATAAATTGATATTTGTAAATATCAAAGAATTTTTCAAACCATGATTTAAAATCTGTTAGATAATTGTTAAGAGAAAGAATTTGAAATGTTTGAAGAAAGTGTTGTTTGGTATATTAAGAGAGATATTAATATTGAATTTGTCATCATTTTGTATTTTAAAAAGAGATTGGTTAACACTATCTTCACTAATATTATAGTAGAGTTTAAAGTAGATAGGATAGAGTTTAAGATCTTTATTGAATTTTTTTGCATTAATAGTTTTATATTTGTTATGAAGGATAAGATATAAGCAAGCTAGATTAAGTGCAATTTGTGTTTTGTTTGAAGTAGTATAGGGTAGAACTGAGCTATATGAAGCAAAAATTTTAGGATAGTTAAGGTAAGTAAAAAGAGTAGTAGTAAATTCCTTAAGTAATGCAATAAAAGTTGAGTGAATTAATTCAAATAGAATAGAAAAGAATTTATCTATAGATGGGTTGTTTTTATATATGAGGTCTGTTAAAAACTTAGAGTGAAGTCCAGCTAAAGTTTTAACTAAATACATATAGTTAAACTTGGATGCTGGTTTGCTTTCAGTTGCTTGTTTGGTAATTTTACCAGGATATACATTAATAAGATGTGGTTTGATAAAGTCAAGGATTTGTAAAGCTAATTTGTTGTCAAAATGAATATGATGTTTTATATTGTTAGTTATTGGATATTCTTTGAACCAATCAAGATCATTAAAAGTATCTCTAATAATTTGTTTCTGTTTTTGTTTTTGTTGTTTTGTAGATTGTTGAGAGTTAGATTTTTTAGAAAAGATTGAATTATAAAGTTGAATTTTGTCTTTTGCTGACATAGTACTAAGTCTATAAAGGATAACAATTTTTTTGTGATCTGGATTTAATGGAGTTTAATAAAAAGGTTTAAGTTCAATATCTGGAAACTTGGGTATGCAGGATTGGTGAATTAAAAAGCTTTTGAAAATACATACTACTGTATAGTCTAGTGCATGGTTATGTTGATTATTCATAAAGACACATTGAATATTTTTGATTTTACAAAGAAAACAGATATGATAGTATTGGGAGTGAGCAATTATGACTGTAGAAGCTGGATTTGTTTGAAAGTTTGGAAAAAAAATGTGCTGAGAAGGAAGAAGAAGAAGAGATTGAAGATTGTGTTTGGTCTATTAATTTAGAAATTAGTGAAGTGAGTAGTTCATCTGATTGTGTTTGGTCTATTAATTTAGAAATTAGTGAAGTAGGTAGTTCATCTGATCGTTTGAAGCTTTGTGCAGAGATAGTGGTTCTAATTTGAGTTTAAGTTGGGTTTAAAGATTGTTCAATTGTTGTTGGATGATTAATTTTGTAGTGTTTAAAAATAAAGCTTGTATGAAACTTGTCACAAAGACAAGTTGCAATAGCAAGTTGAAGAGAAACTTTAAAATAGTAATGTTGTTTTTTCTCATTACAGATATTAGGTTTAGCAGAGAATGGTAGAACATGTAATGGTTGAGGTTTATTCTCTTAAAGTCCAACTTTATATCTGTTTTTATATTTAGAGTAATAATAGTTAATATCATAAAAATCTGATTTCTGAGAGTCAGTTAATGTAGGCATTTTTTGGAGCTATTTTTGGAATTAGGATATGACAAATAAGAGATATGATGACTAAGGGATATGCCAAATAAGAAATGTGCCAAATAAGGAGTGTGATGTTTAAGGTAACACCCAGTATGACACCTAAATGATCGACATGATTACTGTATAACAAGAGTTGCGTAATTTAGTTAAGACTAAATTGATAAAAATTAAAAATAGATAAAACAAGATTAGATTTTTTTTTTTTTTGGTGTTAAGGTAAGGCCTTGCTCATATCTTTATTAGTAATTTTAGTTGTATATATTAATATACTATATATTAAAAATATACTAAGATTGTAAAATACAAAATAAAAACTACATGCAAAAATTAAAGCTTAGACAATATTATCTGCAATCTAAATAGACTATGGTGGTCAAGGCCTATCTAGATTTGTAATGTTAAAATATGATTATAAGATGTGCTATGATTAATCCAAAGTGTTGACTATATGTTAATTTTCCTAATAGCTTGTCCAATTGGTGGACAAGTATTAGGACGTAAGTGTAATTGATCTGCTATTCCATATAGACATGAGTATGTGTAATTGTATGTGATCTTTTGTAATGTCTGGTTTGTTGTATCTGTTGTGAAGTATTATGAGTATTACAAGTTTGAAGAGATGTAATATTGTTATTCTTTTTCTAGTTAGAGAGGTCAATGCAGTATAATTTTTATATTTGGTTGTAAATTTGATCATTAATATCAAGAAGTGTTTGAATAATAATTTGCAAAGCTATCTTAGTTGGTATATTGTAGTTATAGATTGTTTCAATTAAAGCTTTGGGTATAAGGCCTTTAAGAATAAGATTTAGATAGAAGGAGTTTGCTTGAAATGATATTTAGTTAAAAGAAGGATGTTTTTGAATTTTTTGAATAAGTTCATAAAATTGACTAATAGATAAGTCAAGATCTGCTTTAGATAAAATGTATTGAATTGATGAATTAATAATGTTTGTTATGAGAGAAGGGTTGAGGCAAGTTAGTATGAGTGAGAGTCAGGAAGGTTATATCGGAAGCAGTTAGTATTTGTAAAGATAGTTGGATAAATGTTGTAAAAAAAAAAGTATGTTGGTAATTCATTTAGTAGAGCTTTGATTTTAAAGACTTTGAATTGGTTAAGTTTGAAACTAATAAAGTTGGATGAGGGTTTTTAGTTATAATTGAGACCATTCATTGTTTCTTTTTTGTGAAGACCACATTGCCAATATATGAGTTTTGCAAATATTTTTGATAAAGTATTGAGTAAGAAGCAGAATAGAATATATATAGATTATTTGTTATATAATTTGTATAGTAAATTTAGATTTATATAGTAAGTAAAAATATAATACTAATAAAATTTTTTAAAAATTTATCAAAATTTTATTAAATTTTTAAAATATATAAATTAAAATAATTTATTTATTATAATAAAAATTATAATATATATTATTTTAAAAAAATTATACTTGTATATATCATAAAAATCTTGGTACTAACTCCAAATTCTTAGTAGTAACATTTTGATTAATTGATTATCATATGATTATCATATAATTTTTATAATAAATTTATAATACTGAATCTTTAAATAAATCTATCTTAATAAATTTTAATCTAAATTTAATAATTTTACTATTATTAAAATCACAAAAATTTGCTTTATAATTTTGCTTAAAAGCTTAAAAATAGTTAAGTTAGTGAAAATATTTTTAAATACCAAAATAAAAAAATTTATAATTAAAATCATATAATAAGTAAACTATGTAAACTTTACCTTTAATCTATTTTATAAATCAAATATAACATTATCAAATTATATACTAAACATTCAAATCTAAGTAAGTTTTAACTACTCTAGTAGGTTTAGATTGCAGATAAATTAGTTTGAATTTTTTTTCTTACATGTAATTTTCAATTTATTTGTTTTGTACAAATAGTAGTAGCTGTATAGTTAGCAGTTCAATAGTTAGCCGTTAGCCCAACCATAGCATATATACATGTAACTATTTTAAATTACTAATAAAGATATAGGCAAGGCCTTACCTTAATACCAAAAAAAAAATTTATTAAAGACTATATAATTTGTGCATATACATTGGGTTTTGAACTATATTTGATATAGAATTAGATGTTGATTATTGGTTTTTCTTTATATTGTAATGATTAGAAGTTTGTTATTATTTAAATTCGTTTATAACTTATGATTTGATTGGCTAATTATCATGTGAAAATACATGAACATCTGTGTAACATTGAACGGTTGATCTTTAATTTTAGCCAATTAAAATTCCGTGTTACAATGGCTTCGTACGACAGAAGTTTAAATGAATTTCGTTTCTCATTTCTTCATTCTCAATATTAAGAACGAGAAACCATGCCGCAGTTTGTATTTAATCCAAACAGACTTAAGATCCATCTCAAGCTAGCTGTTAACCGTCTTAAGCTTGTACAACAAAAGAAAAATGTACTTAATAAACAAGCGCGAAAGGACATTGCTGCCTTACTTGAAAATTCAAAAGAAGAGAGCGCAAAAATACGGGTATGTCATTTTCAACCTAAATTTATAGAGTCACAACGTGGCTCTCGTAATTAATTCAATAGAGAACCTACCATTTTTTTTTACTATACTTTTAATCGTAGGTTGAAGGCATTATTCGAGAAGATTATTATATCGAAGCAATGGAGATGCTGGAACTCTATTGTGAACTTCTTTTGGCAAGATTTGGACTTTTAGAACAAATGAAGTATGTTTTATAGTGTGTATATTTGTCGATTTATGACTAATGCTTTTTGTACTACTAGACATTGCGATCCCTCTATAAGTGAGGCAGTGAATACTTTAATTTATGCAGCGCCCAGATCAGAAATTAAGGAATTAAGTTTGGTGAGTAATAAACAAGCCCTTTTTTTTGCAAATACTTAATGATTAATTTTAATTCAGGGTGAATTTTTTTTTTTAGGTTCGAGATCAACTAATTGCAAAATTTGGAAAAGAATTCGCATTAAATGCGATCGAAAATAAGAATAATTGTGTGAATGAAAAGGTATGCATCAATGTTTTATTGTTTACTATAATAGAGATTAATGTTTTGACTTAGGTTTATCTGTTCGGTTTTCGTTAGCTTATACAAAAGCTCATGTTCAGTACAGCAGATTCTTATTTGGTGAATAGTTATCTTGAGGAGATCGCCAAATCATATAATGTAAATTGGCAATTGGATCCAAGCGTGGAAGATTCATTGTTAGGAGTAAGTCTTTATCTCTTAATTTAGCACGTAACTTGCGTATTATGATGACTTTGACTTATCATGTATGAATCCTTTTGATAGATGGACTTTTTAAATACAAGAAATAAAACGGAACTTACCGCCTTACCAGACATGGAACTACTTTTGTCTTTGAATAATGACAAAGGAGGAAATAGTCAGCTGGTAAGCGGCCTCGATGAAGAAATGTCCAACCACAAATCTCGAAATCTGAAATGATAATTGATTGCTTACTCATTCACCACTTTCAAGTCTTCAATAACTTCGTCCGATTCCGATTGTCTTGTTCTAGACATTCCCTCCCTTCAACCGCCTGACAACAAAAAGAATAATAAACATGATAAACTTGGTAGGCCACCATCACCGTTATTACCACAAGACCTTTCTCAAAACAATTATGTTACACCACCACCACCACCATATTCAGCTAGTAATAACAGCGTCAAAACAACTACGAGAAACTCTATACCAAAATCTACAACTAAATTTACGACTAAATCTACAGACGGCTTACCAGATTTTGATGAATTGGAAAGAAGGTTTGAGGCTTTGAAAAGGAAATAAATGGGGGGTTTTTTTAATGGCAAAATTATTATAATTAGATAATTTCTATTTGTAACAATATACAAGCCCATTATTATTACATAAAATATTTTTCTACAAATATACTAAATAATAACATTGCACTAAATAAGATTGCAAATAAATGTAATCAATGAAGTTTTGTGTATGCAAGTTTATATGAAGAAATATCAAGCGACTTCTAAAAGTGTTTGATTTTAAACCCATTCTGTACAATTTTTGATTTAACTTCTTGTGATGTCGATTTGTCTAGATAATGAATAATAATTAGTTATTGTAAATAATATTGTATTAACAATCCAATTTAAGAAAATGATTTACTTTCTACGTCCGCAATCTTAAGTTTAGTCGTAGGAATTTCGGGAAATTGTTCTTCAAGCTAAGATATTGAGAAACATAATGTACATATTAATCTCTCATTAACAATTGTCATACTTGTTCCTCTTCGATCTGTCTCAATTCCTCTAATATTTCATCTTTGTCTTTACTTGTTATCTTTTCACTTATCAATTCTTCAATTTCTTTTTTTTTGGTATTAAGGTGAGGTTTTGCTTTTATTTTTATTAATAATTTGTTATGGGCAACTACATGAGTTGACACAGGCCGGAGCCAATTTACAAATGAGACTGACTATAAACAAAATTATTGACTAATCTAATTAATCTGCAACCTAAACCTACTAGAGTAGTTAAAACTCACCTGATTTGATAATGTACTATAGTTTATCCATTTACAGGGTTGTGCAACTTACATATCTGGTAATTTTTACTGGACATCAGATATTTCCAAATTGTCCTATACAATGTTGAGTATCTGATGTGACACAGTTATAGTTGTCATTGAACAATGTCCAGTAAGATTGTATAAAACAATTTCCAATGTTCAGTGATATGTTCAATGCTAATTGAGTTTTTATTATTCCAAGTATATGTACATGTGTATCTAAATTTCCCATCCTAATAAAAAAGTAATTACAGCATTTAGGCAGCTGAAATTAGTCTTATATAGTATTGAAATTAATTTTTATATATACTGAAATTATCTGTAAGTAAAATTTAATGTTATTACTAATATCCAAGGTTTTAATATGTGAATTCAATCAATGTAGTTTATTTTAGAAATCAAGCAAATTGATTAGATTCGTATATTCGAATTTTAAATACAGGTCATTATTTTTGTACTTATAGGTTTTTTCTCTTTAGTATTCATGTATAGTATTAATTATCTTTTTATGTATCTAGTAGTTTACAAATTAATTATATAGAGTTTTAAAATCTATATTATATTTAAAACTATCAGCTATTGCTCCAAGCTTTTAAGTATAGTTTAAGACTATTATAAACAGTTTGTTTGCTAAAAACAATAATATGGTAAATCATTTTTTCATAGCTAATAATATGTTTTCTGTTGTTTTTTTATCCTATATCTGATTTTTCTGTTCATTTAAACTTTGTTATAATTCAGTAATTTGTAATTTAAAAATCCTAATTTTTCTAGTTTATATAAACTTTTATTATACAATATGTCTTGAATTACTATAATTAGTAATTTCTTCTAACCTTAATTAAGTAAACTAAAATTGAACCTTTATTGGCCTACTGTTATGAATATATGTCAAATTGGATATTTGCAACTGTTTAACTTTTCTTGAATTATAATATGTAACAATATCTTATATAACATTAAAGAAAACCAAAAAAAAAATTAGTTAACAGTATAATACAAAATAAAAACTTTATAATCTATCTTTAAACTTAAAAATATATAATTAATTATTAATGACAGTGCATATTAATTCTCATTCTAGTTTATTTTTGTTATTATGCAAATTATGTAACATAAGAAAGAAAAATCACTATATTGGCTTACTAAATACTTTTATGTTATATCAAATAAGTGAACAAATAAAAGTAATCAAAAATGTATTTGTAAAGTCTGTATAAAAACAGTAAAAAGTGATTTTGCTTTACAAACAAAAAGTATGAAAATTACAAATACTTTACATTATTGTGCTAATCATCTTAAAGGTTGTTCTTATTTTGTACAAAACATTTATTTGAACAAATATCAATATGACTATGTCTTCAACCTTAAAAAAACATATAGCAGTGTCTTATACAGAAGAAGAAAATGATGATGGTTCAATTTCAATAACATCAACTCATTTTACTAATTTATTATTTGTCTTTAATAATATTTTATTCTCTTTAAAAAAACAAACAATGTTATTACAATATGTTGGTCAATTACTTAATGCTTTTGAAGTTCCTAAATTTGAATGCTTTATACTTTGAGCTATAATTTCAGCTAAATTTGTATTTAAATAGATAGAAAATCTTAAAATTAAAAAATTATTTTAATTTGTTTCTTTATATTTAAAATTATCTAACCAAAGATTACTTAGCAATCATATTTTAATGAATGCAACTAATGAAGTTCAAACAACAATTCAAGAACTTGTTTGCAAAAATAAAATTAATATTACTATTGTCTTTGATGGTTGGTGCAATGTTGTAAATTAAAAATTGATAGACATCATTTTTTTTATATCTTTAAAAGAAACTTTAATTTGGAAAACAAAAGATATAGTATTAAAAGATAATGAAAAGAAGAAATAGTTTTTAGAATTTAAAATCTTTTTAAAGAGACAAAAAAATTAAATATAAGAGCAAATTGTCTTGTAACTGATTTAGCTAGATTATATATAGCAGCTCATTATTATTTAAAATATGAAATATATAACAAGGTATTTATTTCTTGTTTTGCACATCAGATCAATTGTTGTATTAGTAATATATTTAAAGAATCTGTAATATTCAAAATACAAATAAACATGCAATTCATATTATTATTTTTTTTTACTATTTTGTATATTTTATAGCTAAGCTTCATAATGAACAAATGAACATTTTAAAAAAAATATTAATTTAGTCACACCAAGTATAACTAGATAAAATAGTTATTTTGAATATTTTGATAACATTCTTAAAAGCAAGTATCTGTTAAAAATAAGTTTTATTATTATTATTATTATTATTATTTAATGTTAAGGCAAGTAATTGTGACTTAGGAGTTTATTGATAATCAGTTGGCATATAACTATTGTGTACAACAGCTACAGAGGCAATTATAGAAATAGTATACAACTAGTTATTTATACAACTTTAGTCATTGTTTATTTTAAGTAATCTGCTCGAAGGTTTTACACTAGTTGCCATACCTAGAACCTATCTGTAGGTTCTCTATTTAAATACTCTAGTTCCTATATCCACCCCTACTCTATCAACTGCAGCTATTGCTACAAATATACCATGGTTACTAAGTCATATTTAACTTTATACTAAGCCTACCAGAGCCTTCTATATCTCATACTTACAGCTAACTCAGTACCACTCTGGCCTAGACCATCACTTACAGTCAAGGCTAACCATTAAACTGTTATACTCTTGTAAAGTTCACAAGGATTCTGATATCTTCTTTTCCTAACTTCTATTCCCTACTTTTGAACCTACAAGACCCATAAGACTTCACAAACTACCAATCCAGATGGTCTATCTGGCAAACTTGACAGTCTGATTAGTATATGCTCCTCTATACATGTTGTTGTCCGATCTATCTGAAGTTCTAGTAATCCTTTTTTGGGGCCTTCTGATGGTTTGGTAATACTATCGAAAGTCTATGCTACCTCTTTACTCAGGATTTTTAAGTAGGTTTCCAATTCTTCAGTTTCTTTACTTTCTGCACCCAGTGATCTTATTATAAGTTTGCACTGAAGTCTTATACAATACCAGTTATTAACATTCTTCTATATAGATATAATGTTACAATTTGCATAGATACTCTGAGCTCCCATTCAAGATAGTACAACAAAGGTTACAGATATACTAATTTAACTGATTGACAGAAATAGTTACTATAACACAGACCTTATTTTCCAAAATTCAGCATTCATAAGATTTGAACTCTAGATCTGCTATTTGGAGGTTGACAACCTGACCACTTCACTAGGTTGCCACACTTCTAGTTTTTTATTATTAAATCATTAAAGAATTTATTTAGTAGGTAAATCTATATAATTGCAAGAGTAATTTTAAGAATTTTAATAAAATACTAGTATGATTGCTTAAGTTTTGTATTTTTTTTTAAAAAAAAAAAGCTGTTGGCCTCTTGGAAATTTGCTAAAACATATTAAATATATAAGCTTCAAAGCACAAAACCTTTTTAGATTTTTTTTAAACAAATATTTTTAATTTTAAAAAGTTTCTACTAAATAGAAATCTTTTAATATTTTTTTTATTTTTAAAAAATCAAATTAAAACTATACACTTATTTAAATATGTCTATATTTATTATCAAATCTTTTAAAAAAATTTTTTTAAAAAATTTTATATTTAGACTAGACAAAATTATTACCTTCAACAACCTACTTTCTAATTTTAATTTTACTGCTTCTAAAAACTTCTTTATTTATATTTTAATTCAAATCTTATATAATATAATTAAATACTACAAAGCTAATAACAAAGAAGCTTGAATATTATTTTAAGATATGTCTAAAGCCTTTGATAAAATTAATATTACAAGACTTTAAAATGCCTACAAATAAATTGGCATCCTAATTTCTAGTATAAATCTTATTACAGAATTATATACTTTTTGACTTATTAAGATTATTACTAATTATAATCTTAACCAAACTGTTGGAATTTCCAGATTTCAGAAGAAAATAGTACATGCTGGCAAATATGTAAACCAAAGGCATATAGTTATGATCTACCTTTCTGGACTATCTGGAATGGCAACTTAATGGAACTTAAATTGAATACCAAAGTAGTAGGAATATGTTATAAAATCAGTACCAAAATTAGAATGAACTCTATAAGAGCATAGTAGTTTAATAATATGCTCTAATTGCTAGTATTGGTTTTGGCCATAATAATATCAAGTTAGCTATAAGAATGAAATATAAAAGATTCTAAAAAGTTTAGAACAAAGTTAAAGATTTCAAAGAATTGCTTTAAAGACTTAGTGGCTATAGTATATTTTCACTGACATTGGCTAAGATTATTGGTAGTCAGAGATAGATAAGTAGATATAGAAACTAAAATAATTAAATAGAAAATCTACAAGCAGGTTCCAGATATAGCAGCTAGTGTAGAACCTTCAGGTGAACTACTTAAATTAGACAATAACTAAAGTTGTATGGATGGCTAGTTGTACACTTTTTCTATAATTGCCCCTTGTAGTTATAATGCAACCATTAGCCAAATATACTATCAATAAAATTCTAAGTTACAAGTACTTATCTTAATATTAAAAAATAATAAAAAACTAATTATAATCTTATATAACCAATTCAAATTAAATCTGAAATAGAGCAAGAAGAAACCTATTTACTTTTATTTTAAAAAATTTATTATAATTCTATTTTTTTCTTTATTAATCAAAAATATAAAAATTAATTTCTCAAAATATCTGTACAATTATCTATTAATATTATTTCTAATACTTCTTCTTAATTAATTACTATTTCTCTATTAAACTATATAAATAATATTACTTGGCATTGTGAAAACCTATCTACAATAAAAATATACTTAATAATATATTTATTTTTTATAAATTTAACAATATTGAAATAAACACTTTCAAATTTGATCTTCTTCACATTAAATCCAAATTATCTAACTTATCTTTAACTATTTTTATTATCAATAATCAAACTATTTTTTCTAGAAAAGTTCAAGATATTATTTAATATCTAGGCATATTTTATAATGAAAATAGCTTTTCAAAACTAAGTTTTAATATTATTTTTAACAAAATTAAAAACTTTCTCAATTTTATTAAATATAAAAAAATTATATTTTTACAAATTTTAGTTTATTTTAATTTTATTCTTCAACTTTTTCTAAAATACTTATTACAAATAACTTTAATTTACAAAAATACTTAAACTAAACTTTTTTATATTTTCATTATTCAATCTAAAAAAATACTAACAGTAAAAAATACTAACAATATTACTCTTACTAACCTACTAACTCTTAATAATATTATATAAAAACTAAGTGCTTTTAATATTAAATATATCTTTAATTTTATATCTTTACTTAATATTATTAGTATTCTTTAAATTAAGGTTTCCTCCAACCTATCCTAGCTAGAAAATAATTTGAAACAATTATCTATAGCACTTATTAGGAAATAGGAGGTGTAATGTCACATTGGGTGTCTTTTTAGCAACACAAATGTAGTTTAGAAATCTTTATTTTAGAAATTTTCTTCTGTAATTAAATTTCTTATTGTATCTTAAAGTTTCTACTATGATATTATATAAATAAAAAAAAAAAAAAAAAAAAAAAAAAAAAAAGTATTCTTTAAATTAAAGCTTGGCCTCTTAAAATCTAGTAATTTAAACTTATAATAAATATACTTAATATTTATTATTACAAAATACAAAACTTTACTCTAATTTTTTATTTTTACCAACTTGCAAAATACAATATTTCATTTTTAAACTTTCTATTCTTATTAAAAATCTTTACTAATTATTATACAATATATAAAATATTCTCTTTAAAACTATCTATTCTAATTATTAAAAGTTTAAAAAACAATAAAAGTCTCTTTTTTAAACAAACATAATAGTAGATAATTTATATTTTCTTCTATAGCATGATATATATTTATAGATAAACAAATCTATATAAAGCTATTAATTAACATAATTTATACAAATCTTTTTTTTTAACTAAAACAACAATATTACTATAATTTGGCCTCATCTAACTCTTTCTTTTAAAAACTCTTTTATTAACTTAATAGATCTTTTTTTTTTATTTCAACTTATCTTTTTTCTTACAAAATTTTCTATAATAATAATTAGCCAAACTTTCTTTCTCAACAAACTTATTTTTAACAAACTAACTTCTACTAACTCTATAATCATTCATCTGAATTTACTATAATCACTTCTACCTTATATTTAATAATCTCAAACCTTCAATTTATTAGTATTACTTACAATCAACTTAAACTTACTAATAACTTACTACAAATTGGCTTTAATAAAATTCTTTTACTTATTCATATTAACAATTATATATTCTAAACTCTTATCTCTTTTTTATTCTTTAGTAAATTTAACTTTTTCTAAAATACAACTTATTTAATAAACTATCAAATTAATTTATATCAAAATCAATTAATCAAATTCTATTCTTTAATTAAAAATTTTAACTTAGACAATCTAATTTTTTATACAGATATTTCTATTAAAAACTACTAAATA